ATCTAATTTTTGTTTTTTTGAGACAGGGTTTCTCTGTGTAGCCCTGGAACTTCTCTGTATACCAGGCTGGACTTGAACTCATAGAGATCCACCAGCCTCTACTGCCTCTACTGTCCCTGGGCTGGGATTAAAGGTATGCACCACCACTGCCTGGCAGAAATCTAATTTTTATGACATCTTTCTTTTTATTCATGTTTTTGAACTAACATACAAAACAAAATAATGAATTTCACCATTGAGTCTTCATACATGCATGTTGTACTTTGTTCTTATGTGTTGACATCTTTCAGTACGCTAATGCAAGGTAGATTTTTTTCCCCAAAGATGGCTACATAGTGTCTTAGGGTTTTCACTGCTGTGAAAAGACACCATGACCGCAGCCCCTCCTAAAGAAAACATTTAATTGGGGTGGCTCGTTTACAGTTTCTGTCCATTATCATGATGATCGGGAGCATGGTGGCATGCAGGCAGATGTGGTGCTAGAGCTTGCAGACAACAGGAAGTCAACTCACTGTCACACTGAGTGAAGCTTGAGAAAAGAGACCTCAAAGCCCGCCCCCACAGTGACACGCTTCCTCCAACAAGGCCACACCTAATAGTGCCACTCCCTTTGGGAGTCATTTTCTTTCAAACCACCACACATAGGCATATACGTGTGTGTGTGTGTGTGTGTGTGTGTGTGTGTGTGTGTGTGTGTGTGTGTGTGTGTGTGTATCAAGCTCTAGTTATAAATATATAAGTAAGCCTTATTCAGATGATACTGATTGTATCCCAGTAAACTATTTATCCCTGGGTCATTATCCAAAACTTGGACCTCTAAAGCCGAGAGTCTTTTTGGATACCCTGTTCTGCTTCAATGCAATGTTAAAAGCCAAAGAAGGATGTAGTGTTAAATCCCCCTCTGGAATTTGGTTAATCACTAACTAATGCTATGCCTTGGATGAAGAACTTAATTTTAGTTGTTGCAAACCAGTGCTGTAGTATATCAGAGCAGTCCTAGAACCCGGGATATTATTGTTTTAATATTAATAATATTCATTGGCATGACTGATGAGAAGAAAGAAAAGGTAGAAATAGAGTAATTTAAATAGCTGGTTGGCTTGATTTGGGTTAATAAATGAAAGCCATGAGCCAGCTATGGACTCACTCCACTGCTGGCTCCTCTATGGACATTTCTGATGAACTTACATTTGAGCCTGCCCCTGGAGAGAGCTGACCCGATACATCTGTTTCCTGGGAGCTGAAGGTTGCAATGTGTGTGTGTGTGTGTGTGTGTGTGTGTGTGTGTGTGTGTGTGTGTGTGTGTGTATAGTGTAGTGTATATTTGAGAGAGAGAGAGAGAGAGAGAGAGAGAGAGAGAGAGAGAGAGAGAGAGAGAGAACATGGAAAGGGAAGATCAGCACACTTCATGCAAAGTTAATCCTAAACGGGTGAAGGACCACATTCAGGATATCAGTTGCACAAAAGACAACCCACATGTTTTATCATTTCTCCTATACTTAGGTCCCACCTCTCTCTCTCTCTCTCTCTCTCTCTCTCTCTCTCTCTCTCTCTCTCTCTCTCTCTCTCTCACACACACACACACACACACACACACACACACACACACACACACACACACACACACGGGGCAGGCCAAGCTCCTGCCCTGAGTGTCCGTGATGGAAGGGAAGCAACGTTAAGACAAAGCCTGTAGAGAAATCTGTGCCCATCGAGGCCCAGGCTGACGGTGAGTCAGGGGGAGCTTTCAAGGGCAGAGGGAAAAGCAGAGTCCCGAAAGCTGCCCCCACCCCACTTCCACATAAACCCTGCATTCCTAACAGCTTCCCACATTGTTAAGTTCACACAGATACCATCCTATAGAGTCTTTTCCCACTCCTATACAGGCCTCAAAAGTGGTTTCCAGCCAACGTTTTTATTTATCTCCCAATAAAGAGAAGACATTGGCATTTGGTGTCAGAAGTGGGATTTGAACACACGGCTGGTTCAGAAGAGCATGGTCTTTCAACTAGACCATGCTAGCTACCACAGTGAAAAATTAAAGCATTTATTTTCACAGACCCACTCAGCACCCTAATCGCATACCCGTAAAAAGGAGGGAAGAGTCGAAGAAAAAAGAATTGGCCGTAACAGGCTGTGCCGAGCTCAGTGGAGCGCTTGGGTTACCGTCTGCACGAGTCATCCGTTCCCATTCTGCCTGTTTACAAGTCAGGAAATGAAGCAAAAGGGAAGGCGATGAGCAAGGAAACTCGAGAAGTTTCCCTGAGCAGTGTGGTTTTCTCAAATGTTATCATCAGCAACAGAGCCATGTCAACAAGGTTTTAGATAAGACCAGCCTGTAGTGACGGTAGCGCAGTCCTGGGTGCTGGCCCAGCAGCCCTGTGCAGAGCCACGGGACAGCAGCAGCTCCCTCCGAGCTGGCTCTAGGCAGTGCTTCTCAACCTCCCTAATGCTGTGACCCTCATGTTCCTCATGTTGTGGGGACCCCCCTGACCATAAAACTGTTTTTGTTGTTTCTTCATAACTGTAGCTTGGGTCATGTTATGATTCGTAATGTAAGTATCTGATATGCATGCAGGGTATCTGATATGTGACCCCTATGAAAGGGTCTTTTGACCCCCCAAAAGGGTCACAACCCACAGGTTGAGAACCATTGCTCTAAGGGCTCATGTGTGAGCCTGTAGGATTATAGGTCTACAGAGCTGGGTGAAGGGGAATTGTCTGGCTGAAATCCCAGCTGGAATGTGTCTCTCCATCGAGCCGTGCTGAGAAACAGACACTTGTAAAGGACCAGTACCACAAAGTGTTGGTTCACTACACTTGTCAAGGGTTAGTCGAGACTTCTCCAAGATGTTAGTTACTTGGCCCTGTCCGTAATGCCTTAAATACCTCAAAAAACCTCCTTCCCCAGTCTCAATTGAGACTGCCAAAATGTTCCACCCCAAATCAAACCTGACCTATTTGTATTCACAGAGATATTGATTCGAAAGAAGACAAAGGGCTAGAAAGATGGTTCAGTCGGTAAGGTGCCCGCTTTGAAAGTATCAAGACCCGAGTTCCACCGCCAGAATCCAGGTGTGGTCAGAGGTGAAGACCAAACAGAGCAGCTTCAGCAGAGTGGTCCCAGCCGTGAGATCTCAGCGGCAACCCCAGCTGCTGTGGGTGACAGGTGAGGCCGTGGGCATGACCCGGATAATCACTCTCCAGAGGCTTAGCTGTAATGAAGAGAAATAGTATCTAGACAGCAGCACAGAGGGCTGGGGAGTCTGGGGAGATGGCTCCGTCCGGGGCTTGCCACCCAAGCAGGAAGACCCTACTTCAACCCCCGCTGTCTTATCATTCATAAAAAAGCCATGGAGCCAGGGGGCTGGAGAGATGGCTCAGCAGTTAAGGGCACTGGCTGCTCCTCCAGAGGACCCAAGTTCAATTCCCAGCACCCATGTGGTGATAAACAACCATCTGTAGCTCCAGTTCCAAGAGATCCAATGCCCTCCTCTGGCCTCTCTGGGCACCACACAGACATACACGCAGGCAAAACAACCATACACATAAAATAATAAAATAAAAATTTAAGCCATAAAAAGTCCAGTCCCAAAGCCGAGGAGGTAGAAACAGGGAATCCATGGGGCTCACTGGTCAGCAAGCCCAGTTACTGGTGAACCCCAGGTCCCAGTGAGAGACCCTGGAATATAGCTCTTAAAGAATGAACCCTGAAGGGTGACTTCTGGCATCCTCACACACATGTGCCCATGTGCCTGCACATACGTGTATCATACATACAACCACACACACACAAGAGAAATATGGAGTCTAAGGAAGATTGTTTTGGGTTTCTTGGATCCTGGGCTTTGGGTGTGGGCTTGTCTTCCTGTTGATAAGCAATCTCCCTGAGAGGGACCATCAAGACTCGGGTGAAAGGCAATCATGACAAAGACTCCGGGGAGAGGTAATGCCCTCAGAGGGCAGAGAATGGAGCCCTACAGGTGGATCTGCCCAAGCCTTGAAATCTAATGGGAAGACACCTGTCTCCTAGTCTCAAGATCTGAGGGGCGGGGGGGGGGGGGGGGGGGGGGGGGGGGGGGGGACACTCCAGCAGAGACTGTGGGGGAAGACACTCGGCAGGTGGAAGGCGCAGGCAGGGTTCTAAGGTGACAGACAGACCAGCTTGTCTTCGTATCACACTTCTCATAAGTAGTTTTAGAACTGTACAGACCCAGCCTGGCTTCTGTTCACACACCTCCCTCAGGGACCTGCTCACAGCTGTCCTGGAGGCAGACAAAGGCTTTTTTTTTTTTTTAGAATCTTTTCATAGTGTTAAAGGGATGAGTGAAAAAGAGGGACTTAAACAAAGGCCAGAAGAGACTCCTGACTCCCGACCTCTGGCCCCAGCTGTCTGCCAGAGGTCACCTCCCTCCAGTGAGCAGGCTCAGAGGTGTGCCAGCTCAGCAGCTGGACTCTGGGAGCAAGCGCACAGGGCCCACTTCCCAGGAAGAAGTACGAACAATATCTCTGCTTTTAAACACAAACAAACCCACAATTTGTGAGTTACAAATGACTCTGTCTCTGCAGGAGGTCCATCCTGAGATTTGTTTGGGCCTCTGCAGGAGAACTGGCTCCATTTCCAGTTAGATTACAGAAAAGCTAAGACCAACCAGGAGGGAGAGAAACTGTCACAGGGCCTCTGCAGACTACGGGCTGTCAGCCACAGCCCTGGTGAGTGGATGCCAGGGCCAGAAGCCCTCAGAGAGGGTTGAGGGTGTGGCATATGCATCAGAATTCGTTATCAGAGTGGCCCCCTTCTGTGGGGCGTTTACCCACCACCCCCACAGCTCCCCAGAGTTTGCTTGAGTGCGAGCAGCAGGAAATATTAGATAGAAAGATTTAGATTGTGGAGATAAACAGAAAATACAGAATAGCTTCTAGAGAGCCTGGAACCTATTCCAACGGGCCCCCGACTGTCTCTGCCCCAGGGGTTTTTATAGAGACGCCAGGGGGTGGAGCAAAAGACCTCCTCCCCCAGCACAGCCAAGTGCAGACCATCTCAGACACCTGCACTCAGGCCTGTAGTCTAATCATCCTCTCTATGTGGACCTGCTGGGTAAACCCACGAGGAACCCAAGAACGGGCTCCCACAGCCCTCCCATTCCGTTCCGGTTTTGGGGTTGGGGCCTCTCCAGGCCTTCACTCACCCTTCTGCCTATGATCTCACCTGATCCCACTGAAACGCTTTCCTCCCATCTCCCTTCCCTACCCCACTGTGCCCACACGACTATGACAGTGTAAAGGGTGACACTGGGGTGGGAGACCAGTGCAAAGAACGATTTTAAACCTCAGAACTAGCCATAACTCTCAGAGGAATAAGGAAATGTATCAGGCAGTGCATTTTGCAAAAACTGTGACCTTATCTCTTTCCCAATGTCATTGCTACAAGTATAAGTTTCAGTGATTTTGTATGTGCCAACTGTCACTCGGCTGTGCAGGCCAGGCCCTTCTCTGTCACACTACTCTGTTCCACCGTTGTGACTTGAAGGCAGGCATCCGCCAAAGGTAAGTGAATGAGTAACTGTGTTCCAAGGAGATGTTGTTTATAGATGCTAAAATTTTGATTTTTGTGTAAGCCCATGTTATTAAATTTTTTTTTTTATCCAAAACATTTATAGATATAGGACTGAGGCATAAGTCTGTGGTAGAGCGCCTGCCCTGCATACATGAGACTCTGGCTTGAGTTGCCAGCACCCCTGACATTATAACTGTATTCTCTTACTTCATGGGTCATGCAAAACCCAGGTTTGATCTATGCATGAACAGGATAGCCAAGGTTGCCTACATGATTTCTTCCAAGGTCTACAAAGATCCTTGAGGTCAAGTATTGTTTTCCATGATGTCTTTGTCAGAGCTGAGAGCTTCTGTACTCAGAATCCAGTGAGATCTTCCTCTACGCCACAGGCTGTCACCTCCTTAGGAGTCCCCAAGGTACAGTGGAAGGTGGAGCATAGAAGCACATTATTTTTTAGTGTGTGTATGTCTCTGTGTGTGGGTGCTCATGAACATGCATTTGTGTGCATGTGGAAATCAGAGGACGACCTTGGCTGTCATCCTCAGGGACACCATCTACCTCCTTTGCTGCAAGAGGCCTGGAGTTCAATTAGGCTAGACTGGCTGACCAGACAGTCCCAGGGGACCCTCCTACCTTCCCAGTGCTGGGATGATAGTGTGTGACGTCTTCCCACGGTTCTGGGGATTGGACTCAGTTCCCGTGCTCAGAAGGTGCGTACTTCACAGACAGAGCCCTCCCCACAGCCCCTAGAAGCCCATTGTTGCAGAGAGTATGGAAACCATCCCTTCCCTTTAGAAACTGACTTTGTTCTCTCTTTACCAAGGACACTGCCACTCAGAGCCACTCTGTAACTCCCTACAATGGCTCAGTCCGCTCTAGTCCCCTGAAGCCAGGAGGGAAATGCTGGAAGGGAAATAGTCTACAGAACTCAGGAACAGCAGGCCTGGCCACCTGCTTGGGACACTGAATGAGGTACAAGGACCAAACACACGGTGAGTTACCCTGCCTGGGGTCAGAGCTTCCAAGCCCGGGCCTTGAGAGGAGGTCGTGGTGTTCTTCTGCCCTTCAGTGGGGTACTGACTTTGTTTCCTTAAAAAGCTCTGAAAGGAGGTGTTTCCCCGGTATGATGGCAAAGAATGGAAGTAGATGATCTTCCTCGATAGACAGATAGACCGTTTCCTCAGCCACCAAAGGCTGACTCACTGTCCTGGCTCACAGGCAGCTCTGTGCTGGGGGTATGGGGGAGAGCTGCCCACCTCTGAAGGATCCTAACAATGTATCTGCACTATAAGAATACCTAACAGCCAATTTCCATTTTCCCACAAAAGCTCATTCACCTATACGCTGGGTAAATGGCTTAAGCCCTGTGAAACTTCAGCCATAATTCCAAGAACGGGGGCGGGAGGGTCGAATACCATTCTCCCCATAAAAATCTTCAGTTCCCAGCTGGAATGGCCCCTTTCCTTCCCCTGCTCTCCAGGCACACTCTCCAAAGGGCTCATACTATGTTCTCCTTGTATCTTGACCGTTCTCAGGCTGTGGTGACATGACTTGCTTCCAGCAGGGTGCCTATGGCCACATGCTCCCCAGGAGGAAGCCAATGTTCCTTACACAAGGCAATCTGGAATAGGAAAAGTCCTCCCAGAGGGTAAGGAAGTAAGCGTCTGTGGACAGTGAAGCCTAGGCCATATGAACAGTCTGTGCTGGGAAGTCGCTCTTGGGAGGAGTCCACAGGGATGGGTATCTGTGCCCGAATGCTTGAATGTTCTCATTGCTGTCCCCTGCACTAGGAACCAGAGACCATTGTCCAGACTGATGTCCCAGTCCTTATCTGTGCATGAATTGACCTTTGACAATGAGGTCATTTATTTAATCTTTATACTTAGCATCGAGGAAATCTTTAACCAAGAATTATTAAGTAAATGAACAAACAAACAGAAAACTCTCTCTCAGAATTTAGCTAGTATTTGCCTAATTTCCCCCATAATTAAAGAGAAAGGCTATTTTATGAACTATCATTCCACAGAGTTGTAAAAGGCCCCCTGACCTCACTGACTTACCTTTTATATAAACTCGAGTAAAATGCTCCTTAAACTCAGGATGGCTACCATAAATCTGCTTTCAAGACAAGATGGGGGAGGGGAAGGAGAGGGGACAGGAGAGGCAGCCATCAAAACTTAGCTTTATCAGCAAAGCAGTGGCTTTTCCAGAACCCCACTGACACCCCACTTCAGTACACTGACTAGAACCCCACCCACTGACACCCCACTTCAGTACACTGACTAGAACCCCACCCACTGACACCCCACTTCAGTACACTGACTAGAACCCCACCCACTGACACCCCACTTCAGTACACTGACTAGAACCCCACCCACTGACACCCCACTTCAGTACACTGACTAGAACCCCAGCCACTGACACCCCACTTCAGTACACTGACTAGAACCCCACCCACTGACACCCCACTTCAGTACACTGACTAGAACCCCAGCCACTGACACCCCACTTCAGTACACTGACTAGAACCCCAGCCACTGACACCCCACTTCAGTACACTGACTAGAACCCCAGCCACTGACACCCCACTTCAGTACACTGACTAGAACCCCACCCACTGACACCCCACTTCAGTACACTGACTAGAACCCCACCCACTGACACCCCACTTCAGTACACTGACTAGAACCCCACCCACTGACACCCCACTTCAGTACACTGACTAGAATGAGCTTCACCTCCATCGGCTCACCTCCATCGGCTCACCTCCTGCCACTGAAGCTGAGTGTTCGCCATTTTTCATTTTGTCCCCTGATAAGGAGGAGTGGAGGGAGGCTTCGTGCTGGGTGTGGGAGGGAGCAAGCTAAATGCTACCACACATCCCTAAATAATTTTAGGGGCACACTAGCTCTACGCTCTGCGAAAATGTATTACAGAACTAAAAGAACCAAACCGAAGTGGAGCTCATTAGGCCAGCCATTGACAGCGATCACCGTCACCCCAGAAGCAGATTCCAACACAGTTAGCAACTTAATCCATGGTTTTCATGAAAGGCTTTCCAGGGAGAAAAACACCATCCGACATGCGTTACTGACACGATCTGCTGCCAGAGAGAGAAAACGTAGTCTTCCTTGATGTACCCTTCTCACATCGTACACGGTCACATCACAAATCACTTTTTGTTCGGTTGGTCTTGGAGATAGGATCTCACTATGACGCCCCACTGGCCTGGAACTCACTACATAGTCCAGGCTGGCCTCACACTCGCAGAGAGTTCTCACAGATCGGCCTGCTGAGTACTGGGGCTGAAGTTCTTTGTCACCACACCCTGGTGTACAAATAAAATTAAGGAGAATAATCTTATGCTTTTCTGACAAAAGACAGCTAAGATCTAGACAAAAATTCCCAGTGTAGGCGGGAGGGTGGTTGTAGTTCCCTGCAGTCCCCACAAGTAGTATCAGACGCGCATGCAAGATTGGGCCAAACACCACTTAGTGATGTGCTGTGTCAGCATCAAGGAATTCTGCCTCACGGACCAGTCCCAGCTCCCAGTGTTTGGTGTGGCTCACAAGATAAGATGATTTTTATGTTACTAAAAGGCTGGGGAGGCAGATTAGAAGACTCCTCTTTGATGACCTGTGAAGATCACATGAAACATTTCAGAGTCCACAAAGGAAGTGATGGGACCCTACGTTACCTGTTCACATAGGTGTTCTCTGTGGCTGCTTTGGGGCAACATGGCAAAGGTAAAGACTTGACTTGCAGCATAGACCTCCAGGGTCTTCAAAGTCTAAAACATTTACTGCCTGTTTCTTTCCCAAAAGTGTAGAACCGGAAAGACTAAGTCAGCCAAGGCTGGAGGGAAAATTAACCTGAATAGTACTTATCTCCCTATGCTGGGAGTGCAGCACCCTTCTCCTTCCGTAGGTGATGCAGTCTAATCCAAGGGTGGCCACCACTGCGATGGTCATGCGGCCTTCTGAAGATTCTGGCAGCTATAACTTCTAACTGCCCCAAAGTAAGGTTAGAGTTTTCCAGAAAACCGAAGTACAAAGTGGGAACCATGGAGAAGGAAGTTGGGGGAGGAGGCTTGAGAGGCCAGAGAAGGGACTTTCTCAGGTCTACATTTTGCATATGTAAAGATAGCAGGAGGAAGCCTCAGCTTCTGCCTGTGGTAATGGACTTACTTGTTCTTCCCTAGGAAACCTCTGACCGTCCTACTCAAGGCCAGCACGTGGGGAACCGTGAGCAGGATCTTCTACGGAAGGAAACCCCCACTGTTCTGCCATTTGGTTGAGCTGTGTGGGAAAGATCTCCAAAGTTCATCAATGAAGAAAGTAGAAGAAGGAAGCGGAGGAGGGCTGCAGAAGAGGAGAAAGAGACCATTATAACAGTGTATGACGAGAACAGTGATTATTTAATCCTGGAATTGCCCAACTGGCACCCTCATTTTTCCAGACGAAGCACTGTGACAGCTGTGTAGTCATGCCTGGGTTTTATGTGGGTGCTAGGGCTCCAAACTCAAGGACCCATGCTTGCTCAGCAGTCTCTGAACCCACAGAGCCCTCTCCCAGCCCCAAGTATCTGTATTTTTAAAGCCTCCATGGTGGTTCAAATCTGCGAGAAAAGTTGCACAACACTGTTCCCGGGCTTCTGAATCCATTGACGATGTGAGACCCGGGCATACGCGCTTTGGCAAGTGTGAAATATTAAGGACAGACCAGACCCCTAATGTGAGAGTCTATTTTCTACAAGGTAGGTTACTTCGGATTCAGTTTAAAGGGAACAGAATTGCCACCTGGAATTGGGGGATTTGCAGACTCTAGGAGAAATGTAGTGGATTGTTAAAATGGGCAAGAATTAGAAAGTTTTGGCGTAATGAGTGCTTTTGTGACTGTACAGAAGAAGAGATTTAAGTATCATTAGAAATTAACGAGATACTACTTCCACTATGAAGCTGAGTATGAGAACGGAATTACTCAGAGCAAGAAAAGAGTCATTCATGTAGTGATTTCAAGAGAAAAGCTTGTTACTCACTTCTCCCAGTGGCTAGAATACTATTGAAACCACCTGCCAGGAACCATTTAAAAATTAACTACCATGTGGGTTATTTTTTACATGCAAGCACCTAGAACAAACACCTGCTCAAAGTTTACAACGCTGAAAATGTATTTGCCAAGAAACACAATGAGACATGCTCAAACTCAGAAAATAGTCAATTGTAGTGTCACTTTGACATTGGTGAACAAAATATTTGTTAGTGTTTGATTTTCATTCCTGTGACTTGATCTTTTTGTAGTCTCTTAACCAGAGACAGGATGTTCACACACACACACACACACACACACACTCACACACACACTCACACACACTCACACACACACACATGAACATACACATACATATACACACATGCACATTCACACATATACATACATATACTCACATACACATACACACACACATACACACACACACACACTCACACACACACTCACACACACACACACACTCACACACACACACACACACACACACACACACACTATGAACATACACATACATATACACACATGCACATTCACACATATACATACATATACTCACATGCACATACACACTCACACACATACACACCAAAACAACAAAGCTTAGAATTTAGAGTACAAGAAGGTTAGAATCCCACCCTTATTAGGTTCTGGAAGGTGACCTTGGATAATGACAACTCTCTAAACCTCAGTTTTAAAAGAGGGTTGAGGAGGAGGAGGAGGAAGCTCGTGATGGTGATGATAATGCTGGTGATTCATGATGGTCGTAGTGGTCATGATGGTGATGGTGATGATGGTGGTAGTTGTGATGGTAATGGTGGTGATTAAACACCCATAACATAGGTTATTTACAAATACTAGGCTATTCCTAGAACAGCATTTTGGTAGATGCTACTCATTCCTCAAGTCATGTTCTATTATAAACTAAGGAGCCCATAGCCCTTACCTATGACCAGCTATTATGTAAGGATCATATAGAAATCTAATGTGTTTTGGCATTAATAAAAGATGCATGGTTTCACTTAGAGACACACTAGTTTTGTTTGATTAATTGATGGATTGACTGATGTGTGATTTTTTTTTTAAATTCAGTCTCATTCTGCAGTCCCAGCTAGCCTCAAACTTCCCATATAGTCTAGGCTGGTATGGAACCTACTATGTAGCACAGGATGGCTCTGGTGGCATATACTGATAATCCAACATTCAGGAGACTGTGCCAGAAGGACTGTGAGTTTGAAGCCAACCTGAGCTACATAGTAAGATAGTGTCTCAAAAATGAAAAGGTTGATGTATTGAGAAATCCACCCTACTTTATCCCCACCTAGCCTCCACAGATATCATTTTGATTAGCTTATGGGCACTTTTACTGCTTTCTTACACAGATAAACACACACACACACACACACACACACACACACACACACATATATTAGTCTCTTACACAAAAGTTAGCATGTTACACATTTACTATTACCAATTTAATTTTTCCATTTTGCTTAAAAAGGTACCTGAGATATGTCTTAGTTTGGTTATTGTGTGTTGGGGGTGGACAGGGTGTGTTTGTGTGGATGCACATGTGCCTGTACATGTGGAGGCCAGAGGATAATCTGTGTCATTCCCTGGGAGCTGTCCTTTGAGGCAGGGTCTCTCCCTAGTACATCAAGCCCCAGGATCTAGCTATCTATGCCTCCCCAGCACTGAGATTACAAGTGCATGCCACCGTGCCCAGCTTTTTTAAAAATACGAGTTCTGGGGACTAAACTCAGGTTCTCACATCTGTGTAGCAAGCATGTTACCAGTCCAGCCATCTTCCCAAGGCCCTCAATTTGGTTATTTTTAAATCTCTCTGGGCACACTGGACCATCTTTGATCATTTACTCCCCTTTAAAAATCCTATCTTATTTCTGTAAACATAGCCACTTTGCATTTTCTGTGTGTTCAGTAGCCGAAGTCCATGGAAGAGCTGCCTGGCAACTGTGGACCTGGCTCTGAGCCCCAGAGTCTCACTTCCTCAAATGTCCGCTGATCATTGAATTGTTGTTCGTAATAACAATGAAGCTCTTGAGGCTCTAACGAGAGATTACTTCCTCCAGAAAGTCCACCCATTTCTCCAGGATCCAGGGGCGAAGGGTGCTACTGACCCACAGTAACTTCAGTACTATGTAAGATCTTTTGAATCTGGGTCTCTCATTCAGCCCCACCCCTGGGCCTCTCACATTGGGATCAGAATTTAGGTCTATATGGAAGCCTTGGTAGTGTTTCCCTGGATATGTTTCTGAGCTTCCATTTAATGGCTCTGTTTCAGTACCAGCATCAATTTATTTTCTGCAACCTTATTATACAGTTTACTATCTGGGAAGAACCTACCCCTTCCCTTTCTCCCCCCCGCCCCCAAATGTTCTAAGTTCTCCACAATTGTTCCATTTTCTGAATGAATCCTGAACCATTAAATCTTGAATCCTTTTAAATTACCTGCTTTCAGACTTTCTCCAAGTCACACGATCTGTGAGGATCAGGGATGGCATGTTAGTAACCAAACTCTGTACCAACACCAACGTGAACGAACTCAAAACCAAAGAACAAGGAAGGTGACTTGTGCTATAGGAAGCAAAGGCCCCAGGGTTATGCAACATGCTCTAAAGAACTCAGCCAGATGCCATTTGTAACAAATTGAGGGAGTCTCATGACCTAACTCAACTCTCTAGTTCATAAGGACAGGACAGCGCTGAAGGTCCGAAGTGTAAGAAATTCCAAATGCCTTGCCGCTGTGAGTGCTGGGAGAGCGAGTAAGTTGCTGGAAGAATAAGACACCACACACACACACACACACACACACACACACACACACACACACACACACACACGGAAGCCGTTGACTCACCATTGATCACCGAGGAATGCAGTTGTGCTGTGCTGTGCTGCCCAGCACGGCATACCATTCTACGTCAGAATATGGTGGAGGCTTCGAGGCAAAGCCTGTCACTATCAAGGAGTACCGTGCTGACACAATTGGAAAATTAGAGAGGAAAGAATTCATTCCTACCGGCTAGAAATTGTTTAAAACAAAGACAGGCTATCTTGCCAGTTAACAAAAACCAATGAACTGCTGTTTCCTGTAGATAATGCACAAAATGAGACGAGAGATAATGTAAACAACTGTTGCCCCCAAGGAGTCCAGGAAAAGAGAGGCAGACAGGTAAGATGGCCCCATTGGTACAATAGCGGCAACCTCTCTCTTTCCGATCATCTCTGGAGTCGGCTCCTCGGGAGGGAATACATGCCTGTTACTGTAAACCTGGCCAAAAGCTGCGGCTAAGATGCTGGGGGGGGGGGGGGAGCCACTGCTGGGGATTTGCTTAATGGACATCAAACTGCCTTCCAAGTGTTTGTGCTTATCTACCTTGACTAGGGCTGCTCTCAGCCTTGGTCAGAGAAGCTTCTCTTTGCAATGGGCCTTCGTGAATGCTGAGACTCATAAGTGGTCCAAGTGCTGAGCAGTGGCTGGGGACTGGGATAATACATTGTACAGGTGTAAGAAATTGTTAAAACTTAAAAGGAGGGCCAGAGTGGTGGGAAGAAAGATCTCTACAAGTAAACAGCGCTTGTGCTGGCTAACGGAAGGAAGGGCATGTAGGAAGACAGCATGCTCTAGCCTTGCTCTACGAGAAATTTTTTATATGAATTCTTATGGGAAACTATGCGCGTCCCAGACAGGTTAGTGACTCTGATGCCCAAATGTGGGTTTTAAATAGCTTCTTCTGAACTGTGGGCTCTGGACACCTTATCTCATCCACATGGGTGGGCCAGAGTTGCAGGCCAGTGGATCTAAAGACATAAAGAACCCAAGCTTGGGATTGGGGATTTAGCTCAGTGGTAGAGAGCTTGCCTAGCAAGTGCAAGGCCCTGGATTCGGTCCTCAGCTCTGGGAAAAAAAAAAAAAAGAATCCAAGCTTGTGTGTGGATTAGAGGGACTTGTGTCTGGTTTTGTGGTGGTCAACAACTCTGACAGGCATCTTCTAGGTGATCTCCTCCCTAAACTTGAAACTACGGAAAGCTTGATTCATCTTCCCCTGCAGTCTGGTTAGGTCTTTATGAGTGATTTAGGGAGATTACCTGATTGTTAGTGACGGTTTAGGAGCCACCAGCAAGATACCAAGGTTGACCACAAGCTGGCATATAACAGCTTTTCCAACCACAGCGATTAAAAACAAAAACCCAGAATGTAGATATGGGTTAAATACTGGCGCTGTGTCCTCCCATGGAGGTGCCACTGTTCAGAATGCTGGACTACCTTTTCGATTGCTCTCCTGGTCCCTCCCCCTTCTTTCTCGGCATTCTGTATCTCCACGTGAAGTCTTCTTGAACAAGACTCTCCAGGTTGGATTATTTTGGAAAATAGACAAAAGCAATTTGCCACATAGTCTTAGTTTGTAGAAGAAATGTCCAACCAGCCAAATTTTAATTGAATACATCTTATGTCCATATATAATGTTCTCACCATATACAGAGAAATCGAGACAGTTTTCTGAGGCAATAATGCTGGCATTCATTTGTGGCTCATAAAAAGACTCAGAAGGCAGTTATCCAAGGGGATCTCTCAAGGTCTTTTTCAATAGTGCCACTGTAATAAGTGTTTAGTCTCACCAAGTGACTACTTAGAAGGACAAATATAATTTAGATGGGTATCTAGCGTGCATGGGGACAAAGTCTCATTAGTCATAATGTTTTCTCTCCCTTTCTCCTCCCTCCCTCTCTTCCTTCCCCTCCCTCTGTCCTCTTGCATTGCTGAGGATTGAACCCAGGCCCTCGCACATACCAGGCAAGCTAGGCAAGCAGATCACCACCAAACTGGGCCCTGGCCAGATGTTCTCTCTTTAAATGTTATTTTGAAAGGCTTAATAAGTGAATCTTCTCCTCCCCTTCCCTACCTCCTGGCCTCCTCCATCACTGAGACAACCCAACGAGTCAACACATTGTTTTTGCACTGGTAAGATGCCCTGCCTTAGATCTTTCCTCTCTGGGCCCTTGGCTTCAGTCTTTAATAGCACTTTACTTGCAGCTTGGTGCTTATGTTCATACTCTTATGTGAGCCCAGGCACACTAATACACACTAATACACACCACCCCAGGGTCCCCTTCTAGTCTTTGCCCGATTGAACTCTGCTGGTCCTTCCCCCTGCCTTCGCTGGCCTCCAGCCATGGTCCTTTCCATTAGACTGCCTGCTACTCTACCCCACCCACAGTGTAATAATCCCATCACCGGGGAGGAGGAATAAACTACCAATTGAGTAATGGGAAATAACGATTAGATTGATTTCCCAATCACAAGGGGCAATTCAGAGTCATAATTAAAGGAAATGACATCAGTTTATCCCTATCAGTTACGAGTTCAATTTGCCAAGAATGAGCATAAAATTAACAAACAAACAAAAGGGTTGACGTTTAAACTTTCAGTCTAACTCTTTGGGAACTCTGTGGGGAGCTGCATGGTGGTGCATGCCTGTGGTCAGGAGGCCGTAGCAGGAGGATTGTGAGTTTGAGGCTAGCTTGGGCTACGTGACAAGTTCCAGGGCAAGCTGAGCTAATTAGTGACATGCTGTCTCAAAAGAAAAAAACGAAAAAGAAAGAAAGAAACCGCACCAGGAAGCTTCTGATGCCACCAGCGTGTGAAGGCCACACGTCTGGTCTTTATTTCTGTGTAGGAAAAGAGCCCAAAGAGATGTGGTCAATTGCAGGTCATCAATTAGAAAACAAGAGTATTAAGACACAAAAGGAAAACAAACATGTATCTGGTAGCAGAAAGGGTGGAGACATCCGTGGGAGGCAAGTGAAAAGCCACCAGCTTCTCACCTCATCTCGACTTTACACTCCCACGGTCATCTCCAATTATTGCTTTGTCTTCACCAGGACAAGAAAAAAAAATGAAGCTAAAATGCCAAAAGTCACTTCC